TGCACACTGAACTGATTCGTTTCTGTTTATCTGGTGGACGTGACAAACTGATGACGTCTGTTTTATGGCTGGCAGCAGGGTCAAATAGTACTGGGGGCTCAGAAGTTTTCTCGGTTTGAGGACTAGAAACCACCGAATTCCGACTGATGGGATCCTGTTTGATTTCCCGTTCAGTGATGACTGGTTGGATGTGCTGGAGAAACCCTCTATAACGCGGGATGGAGCGTGTAAGCTGAGTTAGACAGTGCACTGCGGCTGACAGGAATCCAATCCTCTCCTGGGCCCCCCTCCCCGCGTTCGAGAGACGGCATTTAACTGTCGTACCACTGTTTGGCTGGATGTGTGAACTGAGTACTAACACCGAAAGCAGTTTTTTGGCGCGGAAGTAGGTCATTTGAAAGTTAAATGGCAAATTCCAGACGATTTCTCCCCTTTAGAGAGATCAATTCGAGCGAGCTCAATTGATGACATCAAGGAGGGCGTTCGGAGCCCGGTTGCCTGTCGCTGGGATGCTGTCTAATGTCACATCAACATATTAGTTATAGTGTACTGGCAGAGATAAAACCAGTTTTCTTCCGACTCATAAAGTTATCTCCTCAAATGGTTACCTAAGCTCCTCGACACGCAATAAAAAGTGATCCCTAAGAACAATTGGGGGGATGGTTATTGTGCTGCTAGACGACGGATTTAAATTACGCCACAGACGTTCAGGGAACAGCGCCCACAAAAACACCATCTGACACAATGGAACGGAAAACCTTTTGATAGATGACTAACCCACCCAATGGAGCGTGGATAGTTAAGAACCAAAACCAAACTGACTAGTTCTGACAATAAATAGATAACTGGAAGTATACAAAGTGAATGAATAAAAAATTTTCCCGCGCTGGCTTTTGCCCAACACGCCAACATAAAAAATGTTTGTGCACATATCTGCTTTTCATGTCACAATATTGACAGTTGATGATGCATCTAGTGACAAAATCGCCAACTGAGAGCATACAGGGCATAAAATTGGGTTGAGGGTTGCTCGGTGAAGAGGAGGGAATGTACAACTGAAACATGCAAGGGTGTGGGGGTGGTGTTTATGTACAAAATGCACAAGAAGCAACAGGCCGAATGACCGTTCAACGGTCTAGGCCTGCTTTGATGCGTTTCATCTGTTGTATAAAGTACGCTTCCATGACATCAGCACAGTGGAATTCGGGACTATGTTGGGGAAACACTGTGCGAGCGTCTGAGAAAATTCGATTCATAGCAAATGCGAAATCCCCCAAAGTTTCAAACATGTCCTGCGTTAGCTCCGTTAACAATGTGCAGAGATCTGCAAAGACAAAAAACAAATGAACAAAATAAAGTGCAAACAATGGCGGAAACGGAGAACGATGCACTTCTGTGCAGATATTGTAGCTAACTAGAAGAATATGGAGTTCGTGTACATTCGTACCGCATAGAGGCTACGACTTATTCGAACGGAAACAATGAACCGAAATGCATAACTGCCAGTCGACAGCAAGATGATTGGACTCATTAAACACAGTTTGTTTTCACTGTGGCTACCGTCCACACCACCCTAATAATGACTATTCGAGATGCATAATGCTCGAACTTTGGTATGGAAAGTTTACGGTCAGTACACAGCGTAGCAGAATATAGTGTCTTAGTCCGACCTTTTTCTTTGCAACCAACTGAATGTGGGCAAAGTACAGCGTTATTTGGGTTCATCGACATGTCACCTGGATGGTGTGCTGCTCCTGAGGTCAGTTTACGTTGTCAGAGGCGACCAGCGTGTGCGTGTTTGTATTCTGACGTGTACTTTGGTTGAGATGTTTCATTGTTGAGATTTCGACTTAACATCTGGTCAGTAAGTTTAAGTCAGATAGATGGAATGCTGGCTCCATGACACAGTTCGCATGTGTGCTATTCTCTAGTGTTTCAGTGCACGCCTGTTCCACGTGTGACTCGAATCTTGGCTGGTGTGCCATCGAGGTTGATTTAACAGTCTGACTGGAGTAAGTATAGCGCAATGGCTGGATGGCGTTCAATTCTTTTATTATGAAAACAGTTGGATTTTGAGGAGGAAAGCGCGCACGCCGTTTGTACAGCTACAGGTAATAGAGTGCGGATACAGGAGAAACATACAACACAAATACTGTCGGAACGTACTTTTGATATCAGACAACTTTACCACAGCTGGGTACTTTTGTGGGTCCAGGACTTGAACGAGAGGCCATGCCATTTTGTGGTGCTAGAGGTCAAACAGGAAATGAAAAGTCAGGTGAACAGACCACAGAAAACGAAGTACATGCAAACAGACTTTAGAAACCACAACCAGAGGCCATGCCATTTTGTGGTGCTAGAGGCCAAACAGGAAATGAAAAGTCAGGTGAACAAACCACAGAAAACGAAGTGCATGCAAACAGACTATAGAAACCACAACTCGAGGCCGCTGGTCACTCGTCAATTCCATCAAATCGACTATCTCACATAAAAGTCAAGTTACTCGTGGATAGCAGAGTATAGGTATAGCTTCACATCCAAAAACCTAAATGAAAATGAAAAAGAGTTCAACCCAGATGGGTTGTACCTTAACACATGCCCTACCCGAAACCCACTCTATCCACACAGTGTTTTTGGCTTAAATGGAAACCATAGATGGGATGAGGTTTGACGAGTGGAATAAAAGTCGATGGGCAAAAAATCTAATCTCCGCCCTGATTGGACTGATACGAGCACTAAACCTCCAGTGTCAACCGTCGAGTTTTCACACTGAGAGGCAGGCCGACCAGAAAACCACAACAATTCGATGTGAGCGACACACTCCCACGATGCAGTCATCGACAAACCTCCACATCCTGATACAAGACTTTACCGACTTCTCACAATGTGATACGCTCCCAAAATTAAGCGAGCCAGCTTATAATTGATTAGAATGGAATACACTGTCAATGAGCACCATATAACCCATCCCAGGTTGTTGACTGAGATTACTGCTACTCGGGGCTACAAAAGCCGCGGATTACGGTTCTGGTCACCTGAATTCACATGACAGCCTGAAAGTAACGCGCATCAGCTGTTTCGTAGCACAGGGGTAGAGCCGCTTTTTGAAACTAATTGGTCATTTTCCGGGGCGGAAAGTTGCCCTAACATCAGTGTCAGCACTGTCCTTGACGATGATGGTTAAACTGATGAGTAGATATAATCATATACATGCAGCCTGATCGATAACACTGATGCGGTTGTATGGCAAGGGAATATCGACACTGAACAGCAGACTACCGTTAATTGAAATGCGGGATGAAGAGTGAAGTGTAACGGAGATGCCGCTCTGATTCATCATTTAGGACTTCGAGACACTTCGTGAAAAAAACAACACCGTATGGCAGTCGGACGTCAAGAACTGGTCCTTACCATCATATCTTCTACGAGTTCCAGCAGCCGCATTTTTGTATCCGATTCTAACGCTGTTTCATAGATTGTCGTCACAGCGGCGCTGCTCGTGTCCGGATCGGCTTTCACCGGAGTTTCATGGTCATCCGAAATTGACAAACCCTCCGGTTTGTTGGGTGCGTTTTTCGAGCATGTCGGACAAATGTAGGTTCCCGTGTGACTAGCTGCCTGCTCCGAAGTCATCCCGACACATTCAGCGTGGTACCATTCGTCGCAACCGTCACAAGCGATGTAGACGCTGTGTAAGAGAAAAAAGGGCGATAGTTTATTGTTGAGTTCAGTTGATCCTGAGTACATCCATCTTGAAAACGGGAAAAACATGCGAAGTCGCCTTATGTCGTCTCTCAAATGATACTTTTCCACCAAGGAGCCAGGGAATAGCTATCGGGGGTTCCTGCAATACGAAGTTCGAATCAAGCTAGCCCAACCAAGTAGACGCATTGTTGGTGCACAAACAGAGGCAGGATATATTGATGGGGCTGCACAGCGATCGCAATAAGAAACCCCGAACAGCGATAATAAGCCACCAGAAGTTTCGAGTCGGTTATTCTAAGGTCGTTCTGATTTCATCCCAGTCTTACTATGTTCACCGGAGTTTCATGGTCATCGAAATTGACAAACCCTCCGGTTTGTTGGGTGCGTTTTTCGAGCATGTCGGACAAATGTAGGTTCCCGTGTGACTAGCTGCCTGCTCCGAAGTCATCCCGACACATTCAGCGTGGTACCATTCGTCGCAACCGTCACAAGCGATGTAGACGCTGTGTAAGAGAAGAAAGGGCGATAGTTTATTGTTGAGTTCAGTTGATCCTGAGTACATCCATCTTGAAAACGGGAAAAACATGCGAAGTCGCCTTATGTCGTCTCTCAAATGATACTTTTCCACCAAGGAGCCAGTGAATAGCTATCGGGGGTTCCTGCAATACGAAGTTCGAATCAAGCTAGCCCAACCAAGTAGACGCATTGTTGGTGCACAAACAGAGGCAGGATATATTGATGGGGCTGCACAGCGATCGCAATAAGAAACCCCGAACAGCGATAATAAGCCACCAGAAGTTTCGAGTCGGTTATTCTAAGGTCGTTCTGATTTCATCCCAGTCTTACTATGTGAGCTCTCAAGCAAATTAGTCAACAAGCTGATCTTGCACGCACCGAACATGCTTTAATGGCCGATATTTCTTGCACTAACAGAGCGTCGTTAGCTTCCCAATTATACCGATGCCTAACTTCGGCACGTGAGACGGATCTGAAAGTTCCATGCAGGAAGGGGGCAGACTGAGTATGCTTGGCTAACAAAATAACACTGATAGCCGCTTATTTTGCATCATCTAAAAAGAAGCCTTAAATTCCGTGGACATGGATTAGTGGTTAAAGCACGAATTTGCTGACCGGAAGGCCCTGGTTCGAACCCGACTTCCACTGTATAGACTTGGGCAACCTGGCAATATCCCAGCCCCCGTGCTTCCTCTGGGTGGCATGGTAGCTAGGCACCGATATGGAGACGTCAAACGTCTCTGAGGATCCGATCACCGTGGCTTCGTAGGAAGCAGCAAGCACGATCCAATGCTAGTTGGTTGGCTTCCCGAGAGAAACGACGTTTTTGCACCAAGTTACACTCTCCCCATTCTTTACTTACGAGTCCTTTCGTCATGGTTGTCTGGTAGTTGAGGGCCAGTGTTTACTACTGGTGTAATGTTGTCAATAATGGCAAAACGGCAACACTGCAGTTTAGGTGAACTAAATTACACACAGCTCCGCTAAAACACGGTCCAAAAACCACGAGCTTCCCATACATACATCCTTTCAAACCCCAGTATTCCACTGTATAGACTTGGGCAACCTGGCAATATCCCAGCCCCCGTGCTTCCTCTGGGTGGCATGGTAGCTAGGCACCGATATGGAGACGTCAAACGTCTCTGAAGATCCGATCACCGTGGCTTCGTAGGAAGCAGCAAGCACGATCCAATGCTAGTTGGTTGGCTTCCCGAGAGAAACGACGTTTTTGCACCAAGTTACACTCTCCCCATTCTTTACTTACGAGTCCTTTCGTCATGGTTGTCTGGTAGTTGAGGGCCAGTGTTTACTACTGGTGTAATGTTGTCAATAATGGCAAAGCGGCAACACTGCAGTTTAGGTGAACTAAATTACACACAGCTCCGCTAAAACACGGTCCAAAAACCACGAGCTTCCCATACATACATCCTTTCAAACCCAATCACAGTATTCCAATATATCAGAAAGGTGTGCAGCAAATAAGTCCCTCGTAACCTGCCTGAATAATCTAACCCTATGGTGCGATTTAGATCAAAGTTGCAACGGACATGATAACAAGAATTTAGAAGAGTAGAGTAGGTATTTACCGCAACGGTTCATATGGCGTTCGGCATAGGCAGTAGAGCATCTCATTCGCATCGATCTCCGCCTTTTTACAGTCCGGACAATGCCAGGATTCACCCAGGTTGCCTGATTCGGCTGCACGAAGTCCGACACATTCGAAGTGAAACCAGTCCTGACACAGGTCGCAGCCGAGATATTCTCTGAAAGTCGACAACAAGGAGTGATAGATAAATAACCTTATAAGCGACTCCGGAGCAAAGACCGAAGGACGTTCAAACGGGTCTTGGTTGATGAAGGGGCGATCTGTCTTGGGTTACAACAAACCACAGAAGCACACGATAATACGGCACCCCGACTTTTGATGATACTAAAACAATGAAAGGTTGAGTCCAGTACAGTAATATCGTGACGCTTGCCTATATGAATTGTAGTATAATAAACATCCGCTCAAGATCAATCGTTCACAAAGATCCCCATCACAGCAACTGGTTAGGACAACTTCATCAGAAAGACTACCGAAACAGCGCGGAACTTAAGCTGGTACCGAAGCTTGAAAACAATCTTATTTTCTACATAGTTTACAAATGGTCACAATGAAGATGGAAACACCACTGCGACTCATTATCATCATCCTCGACAGCATGACATCAGTGTTCAACACCGATGTTTCACTGCCGTAACCACTGCGAGTACCCATATGACTGACTGCATGCGTGCTTACAAACCCAGTCACAGTGCTGCAAGACATACGACACATGAGCCAACACTGTTGAGGACGAAATTCAACATATCGGTAGATTGTTTGCCAAGCGGGTGCCCTATTCACTGGAAGGCTACTTTAGTGGGAAATTTGGCATGGATAAACTAGTTAACTAGTGGATTAAGCCGTTGAGTGCTGATTATTAGCAAACTGGAACCCAAATATGTATTGAACATCTATCCTCCGCTGGAAACAGCATGTGGAGATAGCGACGGAAACTTGTTCTTTGTGAGAGGTATTCTCAGATGAGGGCGATCTTTGTATCGAGAGTACCATGAGTGCTTATAACCGAGTAAAGCCAGTATTCATATCCAATTTCTGAAGAGCTAAGACATTTATGTACGAAGTGTGACATCACGAAGCAATATTTCAGTTCGAGGTTGTCTGTGGGACTGCAGCCACATTCTTCCAAACTCAGCTGTTCCTCTATTTAAATAAATTGTCAAGAGAAAGCCGTCTAGCATGTAACTAGTGAAAAACATTGCAACGGATCACAAGGGGGACTGTAAAACCAAGTTGTAGAAGAATTATCCGCATAATGCTGACCAGAGATCAAATTGGCGATGAAAGGCCTGGAGACGCAGAGCACGAATTCTGAATCCTGGTCATTATCGCGGGGGGAAGGGTTGAGTTATGAGGACGCGTCGATTTCAGATCAAATCATACCACTGTACATGGTAGGAATGATGTATATGATGAAATACAAGGTTGCATTACATGACACCACTGTGTACGCGCGCAAAACTCCGTTCCTGATACAAAAACGCTCAGCCGTAGGGTCCTTTGGGTGCAAATGCCTAACGTGAATTTTGTAGCAAGATTGGTGCCCTGATGTCACGTACAGGCAACACTATAAGAGCGTATACATGGAGTCTAGATAAGAAACTTTCGAGGAGTAGATAGTCAAATCTCTAGATTGGTAGGCTGTCATCCGAGGCATACATAAAGTTGAGACAAATTTCACAGTAGCTCAGCTAATTCAGCACATGTGCGACGGGCGGAAATCCATGAGTGTGGTAACCAGTGAGTGCATGTGGCAGTTTTGTGTTGAGTAGGGACTCCGCAATCTTAAAAATGCAAGAATCCACACACGATTGGGAGCCAATGTTAAGAATAGGATGATCTGAGCAGTTAGCTGCCGGCCAATTATGGGATACTTGCTCGTAGGAATACAAACGAAAAACCGGCTATCCATTGCAACAGTGCTAGTTCATTTCATGAACAGCGTCTGCTTACATGAACAAAATATATAAAAAAACAGGCGAAATATCTCAAGCTGTGCATCTACCAGTACTCATCAGCAGCGAGGCTTCCTGCCAGTGCAACTGTGTACTACTACATTAGAGGGGAAAACAAGCGATGAAGCCTAGAGTACCGCATATACCAACGTCACCCATAGATACACTAAAACCGATCACCGAAAAGATTGACTAAGAGTTACATCATGGAAACTCAGGACACTGTATGAATGATCACCATTCTCATAGGGGGACTGTGTTCACAGTGTTGTTGTCGTGAGAATTAAGTTCGACCAAGCGGATGAGAAAAAATAGATGGTCAAAAGTATGCACGAATACCGACGAACCTAGTGGGATCGTATGGGGTCTTGCACAAGCAGTAGAGTGTTGTCGAATCCGGTATGTTCGGACAGGCAGTCTGAGTAGAAGGAGATGGTGCAGCAAACGCTGTCGGAAGTCGAATAGTCTGTCCCTTGGCAAGTCCAGCAGGACGACCCCGGTATCCGCGGCCACGGCCAGCTCGTCCTCGGCTACCAGTCGACAGACAACGTGACGCCGCAGCTCTTCGTTTCCCAGCCGCACCTCTGGGTGTTGAATGGGGTTCATCCTGTGGGAGGTAAAAAGACATCATTTAACGGCTTTGAAGTGACATGGTTCAACTTCTCAAATGCCACTGCAGTGAACTGAATTGCTTGACAGAAAACGAGTCTGTGTTTGAGTGAACCGTATCAGCAATCACAACACTCTAGGCAATAACATTACTATGGATGTTTTCGTACTATTGCTTGGGTTTAGGCCACTGAATCAAATGTCAGGCGTTGGTTACGCATCACACATTCATTAAATGCTAAACCTATCCAACATCTCGTTAAGAGTAGATTGGCTGAACTGTCGAGCTTAATTTGCTCATTCGGAAACCCTATGCTACAAGAAAGCTGCTGGCTGGCTGCATGTAAAGATGCTATAATCATTTAATTGGCAGTGGAGAAATACTTATGGAATTCTATAGCAAATGTGGTCGTAAGTTTGTTTGTAACAACAATGGGTCGTCCAACAAAGATGAAAAAAGATGAAATTTTATCGCACTAAGATAACTCAAGCAGATATGCCAGAACGTGCGACTAGTACAACCCACACAGGTGGGCGAACAAGACACCCAACTAAAAAGAGGGTCCTTGCACATGAGCTCTGAAGACCGAGAGGAGCCCGAAACATGTACACTTCCACCACTAAAAATGGCACCAGAAACAACCAAAAGAGAATAATCTTGATCGTTCGGGCAACTCACACGGAGTGTTAACCCTCGTGATTTTAGATTCTAACGACACATGGCCCCATGTCATAGCTTATTGTCCTAACAACCGTATCGGCGCCAATCATCACAACAGACTCAGGTGCACCAATGAGCGATTTGGAGCGACTGACAACTGTGAACTTGCAGCCCATGGGTTGCACACCGAAAGCCACTGCTGCGGTTGTTGACGTGGCTCCCCTTGGAACACCAATACATATATGGCCAAAACTATAATACTCCGTATCAGCAAATATAGCACTCACTTGTTTCAAGACAGTCGACGGGATAAGAATTCGTTCAAGGGTCTCATCGCCAAGACCGGGGGACGTGCTTGGTGTTGATGCTCCACTAGATGAACTGTGCTCGTTATCAAAGTGCGGTTCCTGGTCATCAGGTTTGGGACACGGAAGTGGAGAATCCTCTGGTTTTCGGTACTTTCGAGATGCGGAGACACGATTAGTCAAGACCCTCGAAAATCGAGCACGACCGCGCCCCCGGCCACGTTTGACGACAGCCAAACCACGGCTGAAACGTCGAAGTCCAGACGTCTTTGTAATCCAGTGCGGTTCGTTTTCTTGATCCTCATTCCAGAAAGCTCGTGTGCCAGTTCTTGAAACGGGCACATCTTTTGGACGAGGACTGGCCTCTTGAGATGACTGTCTGTTACGGCTTGAGAGAGGTGGGCGACCTCGTTTCGTAACACCTCGAAGAGGAGTAAAGGGAGTTTTGGAGGGAAAGTCTTGTGGGGGCTGCTTCACCTTGATGGGAGTCGGGCGCTCCCTGTGAAAATCCCGCTCCTGGAAGTCACTGAGAGAATCCTAAACGACGGGATATCAGTGAAACGATGAAATGATAGATGAGAACATTCGACAGACCCTATATATGACTACATGCACATTAGGCTAGGAAAGCTGAACTAACCTGAGAAATAAGTCTTGCCAATGACAAGTGAAGACGCCGGCGGGTAAGAATCTGGCTTCGTAAAGAACGAACACGCTGCTCCAAAAGAGCGCGCTCATTACGCATCCTTCGCGCCGCAACTGAGGCTTTGGCTGCGTGGGAGGCAGCCAGTGAACGAGCTCGTGCTTTTGCCTCAAGAACGGAAGGAGAGATTGTCTGTTCAGGCTGGCCAGAAGAATCGGGTGGATTGGAATCTCTCTGATAAGCCCGACGACGTGTGGAAAGAGCAGGGATTAGTCTAACAGTAGGGTCACCGGAGATACGAAATCCCGAATGCACGTCCCAGATAATCCCGGAAGAAGCTGAAGGAAAGTGCATAAATGGGTAGATAAAGTTCACAAAATTAGATAAAAAATACGATAAATGGATATAGAGTAATATGGATAGCAACCAGTGTGTTGCCACAAAGTCTTTATAAGGAGTGAGCGTACCCAGATTCGTATTTGTCCCTACAAGAGCGTTTGCCAAATTGGGATGGGGTGGCGGTTCCTCTCGATTCTCGGGTAACTCTTCCGGTTGTTGTTTTGTATAGTTGGCCTCCTCGGTTTTCGTTTGTACGCTCGGAGGAACCGTTGATAACCTCGCAGGTCGCCGTAAGGTCGCGACAGCCTGAGATTTTCCGTCCAACTTTTCAGTGCCCACATGCAGATAATCATGATTGGGTGGCAGGTATCTGCCAAAGACAGCATAAACAAGGAAAAAGGGGGGGAAGTGGAAGTCAACCAACATCTAGATGATGCCATCAAGACTCGATGTAGATCAAAGGCGTGAGCTTCCGAAAAAAAGATCACAGATTCGAAACCAAATTTGACCTTCAGACTGCCTTTCGTAACCTGGTACTTGCGCTTCTCTTGGCCTGTACGGCGGTTAGGCACCGAAAGGAGGTTTGACTTTTCTATTACACAGAGGGGAAAAGGTGCAATCCTCGCTGAGAGATGCAGTTCAACCCATTTGCGCGGATTTGGTGTCTCAGGTCCTAATTTGATCGTGAATCGAACCCTGTGAAATCTTTTGAAATACGCTAGACAGGCCACGTTATTCAGCCAGTCAATTTGGGTTCAACCGATTCAGCCGAAGAGATCAACTGCAAATGTCTACTAGACAGAGATATGTAGAGCGCCAGGCACGCTTACATGATACACATCGTTTGTAATCGGTGTCGCCGACAGAGATGCTAGATTCGACTACCTACAGTAAAATACAACTAGTGACCCTGTGGACAAACATCGTCACTGCAAAAGAAGCCACTGTGAACGGTTGCTTCAACAGTCCACAGTCAAATTGGTGAATTAATATTGACCCTAATGTAGAACCTGGAAACCAGCAGAGGCGTGATCAGACATAAAAAAAATCTAAGAGACACACTGGCTGAGATCCACCAACTGAGGCGTTGTAAAAAGGCAAGGGCCTGACCCAAATGACGTGCTTCAAAAAGGATGGACGCACTTGGGGTTGAAACTTCAAGTTTCACAAACCCACAGCGTCCATTAAAAAGCATAAGGACACCTAAGAGTTCCTCTCCCGGAGGAAAAAGCGTTCAGCTTTAGCACCCTTCCGGTGCCTAGCTGCCATGCCACCTGAAGGAAGCACGAGGGCTGGGATACTGCCAGGTTGCCCAAGCCTAGACAGGGGAAGCCGAGTGGCGGAGGTCGGATTCGAACCACGGACCTTCCGGTCAGTAAATTCGCGCTCTAACCACTTAGGCCATCTCGCAACTCCTCCTCTCCCGGAGACCACAAAGTCACTCTTGTCTTGATTGTTAGTTAGTGGGAAAGCGAGAAAAATAGTAGGTTTCCAATTGGGCTAACATGCAAACAGGTCTCCAGTGGGTGTTAAAGACTTTCCCAAGTTCACAGACGTACCACGCCTCAAACAGCCAAAATAGCACATCCCTAGTGGACGAAACAAACAAAAACCTCCAAACTTACTCGTTCATGAAAGTCCTAATCTCCCACAAAAATAAGTGATCTTCTGCCATCCAGCGCTCTTCAACCCGAATTTCCTGATGTGATGCTGCGGAGTTCTCATTCACAGCCCCAGCACTTGATTGGTTATTGCGATTGGCACCCTTACTGTTGCGGGTAGAAGGAGGCCAATCATCGTCATCCTCATCATCATAGGCTCCATCGTCATCATCTGATTCTGAGGATCGGTGAATCCGACCACCAACTGGACGACGCTTACGGCGCCGAGCACTGGCAGATCCCCACCAGCTGTCGTCCCCGAACGGATCGTAGTCGGGGTCTTGTCTTGGCACTGACTTCCGACTTTTCGACTTCCGACTAGAGTGTGGGACAGGAGAGGCTGTGGATGATTCAGACGCAGAGGAGTTGGTGGCGGCATGTGCTGTACGTCGGCTACGCTTCGCATTTCGGCCGGGTGTTCGCCTAGTCTGTGCAGCCCCACTGGACGAAGGCCGGGTGTGAGTAAGCCTTACTAGATAATTTGCTCGCTGCCAATGCTTGTCCTGAAAAGAAATTTAACATGACTGTCAATATCCTGCATGCACCAGTGAAGATAGAAAAATTAAAAAAAAAAACAAAAAGAATCCCATTTGATATTACCAGTGGTTGAATTCCAACAATTTTCCTGGTACAATAGGCCGACTGCCCCGCTCTCCCTGTCCCAGAGTCTTCATAATCCATGAGTTCACGAAAGCATGGACGACCATCCGCATCGAGCACGTGAACATTGTCCGCTGGCTCGCCCAGAATATCATCCCATCGGATACAGTGCCACAGAATGCGCATCAATAAAGCTATGTTGGCCATATCCTGGCCGTAGTCCTTAGGTTGGTAACTTTTTGCCATTGCTGACAGACGATCGGGGCCAAGACGGAGTTGACTAAGACGGAATCGCCACGTCTCTGACAATGTTGGTTTCGCTGTCGGATATGGCCAGACGATCTGCGTGGGAGTTGATAAAAAGGGAGTACTTAGAAATAAATAAAGCGCCTCTTCACAATGAGTTCATAGAGACCTGCATCTGGCTTTATACATACTACATATATCAAACTAGTAACGGCCAAAGCAACCAAGAATAAAATCTTTACTGTTTGTTCCAATGTTGGTAAACGAAGATAGACAGACCCATTGCGGTTAGTTTGTAAGCGAGCAGACATAAGCCATCCTCCATTCAGACGACTAGAGACAACAACCGTGCAACGGCGATACAGTGCACTAACTACTTGGGATTCGCAAGTATAATGTTGTGCTTCAGATTCTAGTACAATAATAATTGTTCATGAGCCTAAGGGTAGGAGAAATTGCTATTCGCTGTCTCCCTAAGTAGATGTCATATGGAAGGTTATCGTCAGTCTGAAGAGCACTCGGTTGAAATGCACTTCTGACAGGGAACAATCGAGTGGCCAGACGTATGGAAAAAACGAAAGCCTCTTGAAATAACCGGTCAATCTTTACATTTATTCCTATAGATACTTGGAAACATTCCTTCTGTATCCGTACTGATTTAAAATAACGATACTGGACAGCAAACAATAGATACAACCGAATTTCTGCGCAAGAACCGGACACAGCTAACATAGGATACCGTACCTGGTCACATTATCAGTCTTCTTCTCTAAGATTATCCTTGTAACCTATTACCGCGAGCTGTTTGAGCGAAAGATCTACACTATCACAAGAATGTCATTGTCAATATAACAGAGCTGGCATACTGGTCAATCTAATCAAAACTTAACAGTACTGGTTATCATTTTGCAGTCAATCATCCTGACTGCCTACATGGTTGGTAATCCAAACTGGGTGAAACCAGCCAGAACTTCCAAGACCAAGGTGTTTCAAGAGCTATGCATCAACAGGACAGGATGACATGTTGATTGCGAACCACCTCAAGGTGTGCCAACTGGTAGTCTTTCTGGTTGTACAAAAGCAGAGTCAGGCATGACCGGAATCTTGTAGAGTTGTGATAGTTTGTATAATTGTCGGTTTTTCTTCAAAGTTGCGGTTACCGAGTCGAAATGCGGACAGTCCACGATCTGATGCGCGAAGGAATCGCATTCAGAATGGGCGTAGTTATTTCGTTACCTTTTATTGTGGTTGGACCACTGTTTGCTCCAGCCATCCAAGCTTTCTTTGACGGGAGAGTCGATGTTAAAGCTGAAACCACACACTCACCGATTCCTTCAAATGGTTGTTGGAGTGATCGCATCTACAAGCACTTTCTACTCATTAACCGTAATAGAACAGAGCATTTTGGTTAGAGAAACCAGCGGCGACCTTTGACCTGCACTCTCTACACATACATTCACGAAATAACTATACACCTCCCATTTTGGCCACAAGCTAAACTTTCCACGGGAGTTACATCGCAGCCATAAAGTGAAGAATTACGCACACGTGGCGCATTGCATTTGAGATTTTTCTGACACTGCTCCCCTGATATGGTCCCAACAAAACCACTCTAGCCATCCTTCCTGAGGCGCACAACTGGACCCTGATTACGGTATTCTGCAGGTACATGTATCGATTCGCTTTCCATGAGGAGTATGCCGGTTGACGCGCACCCACTCCATTCGTCACCTGGATAGGGCTTCCGTATAGGAACAAAGTGAGTTGGTGGAAAAGCTTTCAAAAGTTAACCGGTACGATCGAAAACCATGAGTGTCCGCTCACAGCTTTTAGTCCTACCTATCCCGCCGAGGCCAATGGTCGGTCAGCAGCTTCCACTAACACGCGATTATTATGATAAACACAGGTCCCTCAAAGACCGAGACATAAAAAGCCCTTTCGGCACCTTTCGGATGCATAGCTACAATTCAACACAACGAAAATACGACGGTTGAGATACTGTAAGGGTGCCAAATCCTAGACAGAAGCAACTGAAATGCCAGAGTTGGTTTCAGATCGCAGACCTTCGGGTTGGTCGTTTCGCGTGACAGCGGCTCAGCCAAGTCGATTTCAACGAAGACTGTAAGGGTTGAGAAAGGGCGCAAGTGGATAGCGATGGCCCGGGAGATGGAGAAAGCTCTGGCAAAGGACAGCCGTATACTATATCAACTAATCCGAACTGGTTCGGGGAGGGTGAGTTGAAGTTCGGCCATTCACGAAAAGGCTCAACCTCCGGAACAGCTATATGAGGCTGAACAAAAAGTTCATCATTTTTCATCAGCGACACAAATTCAGCTCGACGCTTTACTGATTTAATGACGAGATAAGCCTAGACCAGGGGGTTCGCATCCTAAACTCTTTGAAGGCGGTAAATCCATTGTAATAACCCTGAATACGCTACTCACAAGCATCCGGAACGAAGATAAAATGCCGAAAGGAGGGTGCTGGGATTGTGATTCAAATAATTCAAAGAGCGAACCAACATAAAACGAAATCACCGCGGAAGCGCATTATCAGTCAAAGCAACTAAGGTGCTCTATGGTATCATGTCGTTTAGATTGAGCCATCATACGGAAAGTCAGATTCATGAGAATCAAGTCAAGTTTCGCCCTGGTAGAGTTTGCTCCGATTACAACTTAACTTCACTCGAACCGCGCCATCCCTTTCAACTGCCGATAACTGTTGTTTGTCTCTATTTAAGAGCTGCCTTTGATTCCGTAGATGACCAGAAATCATGGCAGGGTCTGGAGGAGAGGATGTCCCTTCCTATTTCCTATCTCATAAATATCCTATATCCTTCCTTAGGTGGAGCACCTGAGGGCAAACTTTCAACAGAGTTCGCCACATCCAGGTGTCCAGTGAAGCTGCCCTCTACCGCCCTTCTCATTCAACCGCGTTAACGAAGTGTTGTTTGGACTTTATTTAACTGCCTCTAAGAGAACCGGTGTTTCCAACACGGTAAAAAAATG